GGAAAAAGGTCCCAAAAGACCTAGGGATCATTTTCCAGAATCCGGATCAGTCTGTACAAGTCTGGATAAATCTGGATGAAGTCTGGAAGACTCTGGAAAGCTCTGAATAAGTCTGGATAATGTCTGCAAAAGTCTGGAAATCTCTGGGGCGAATTCAGGAATGAGACACTCAGTGTGAGTGTGATACCGGTGCGGTGCGACGCACTAGCCGTTGATAAAGATAAATGGTGCAAAATATAAACAAAACACAAATAAGAATTAAAGTTTTTTCTTCAAAATAAAAAAATGAACAACAAAATAATACATCGAACTAAAAAGTGAAAAATGAATATAGTTTAAAAAAACTAAAAAACACGCTTTTATAGTAAATTGAACTAAAAAGTGAAAAATAATTTTTAATATAAACAGAAAAAATTAATGAACAAAAAATATTAGAATTATTGTGAAAAAAGCGTGGGATGCTCAATGTACGAGAATGTGGAACAAAGCACCCCACACTTTTTTCACAATAATTCTAATATTTTTTGTTCATTAATATTTTCTGTTTATATTAAAAATTATTTTTCACTTTTTAGTTCAATTTACTATAAAAGCGTGTTTTTTAGTTTTTTAAACTATATTTATTAAAATTAAATATCCTTTGGCTTGGAGTTATTGTCTGTACAATATCAGTAAATAATACTCTGAATGAAAAAGGTATTAAAATTCTTCACAGTTTCAGATAAACTATTGGAAACGCTTCCCAAAAAATTAATTTTGTCTATTTTTTCTGTATTTTCTTGACCAGTAATGATGTGTTTTAATGATTTCCACATTTCCTTTGGGTCATTATAGCAATTATCCACCCTGTCCTGATAATATCTATACTTTTTTATTCTTATTATGTTTACAACAGCATTTCTACTACATATTTCTATAATTATCCCAATTGATCTGGATTTTCCTTTGCCTTTATTGCATTCAAGCTCCGCTTATTAAACCATCCATTATACCTTACATTTACAAGAACTTCTTTTTCTGGCTGGTGAGTATCAATAATACCCATCATTTTGCTGAGAAAAACCATCATATTTATCATCAATGTTGCCTTGATAATCGTCCATGCTTTTACTTAGATTCAATATATCAGAACGCAACTGGTCAATATTCTGTATTTTATTTACTTCTATATATCAACTTTGTTATATCTGGCCGTTGTGGAAGAGCGATTTTTAAACATTTGTGATTACAAATTTTTTTATCATCACTAAACACAATCTATTAGTGAAGAACCTCTGTTAAAAACATGAGTGTCTTCATTTACTAACTGTTTTAAATAGTTATCATTGACAATAGTTTTGAGTCTGGAGGAATAAGTAGCATTATGATTTCAGTTAATATTAGAATCACCAAGTAGGTATTAGGAAATCACGAGAAATGGAAATAATATTCAGCTTTCTTGGACTAATTTATTAAATTTAAAAATCAAATAGCCAACGTTTCGATTAATGTGTTGTATGTCATAAAATCGCCTTTTGCGTCACATAGCCCTAATAGACCTGTCTCGCATGATTAGAAAAAGTGAGCTTAATTGTAATAAATACAAGTTAAAAAGCAATAGAAGATGACATGCGCGCGCAACTCGTAGGCTGCAGTGTAGCCAGATTGTATTGTTGCAGAACAAAATGTAGACAATACAAATCGAACATTATGACATTAAGGAAGTGATATAGTGTCGAGGGTTTTACAATGCCTTAAATCAGACAAAAGAAGAGCTTTAAAGTGGATGACTATCGTTTCCACTTTTATTTTGATAAATGTTTCATCCGGCAAAATCGCTCAATGAAATTGGTAACATGTAAAGTATTAGTTTGCTCTTTGTCAAATTACACATTACAAAGAAAGAAGGAACGATTGATTCTGAACTGGCTCCTGAATTAGAATATGACGCAAGCCTGTCACAAACTTGCTTCTCATTGGACGCTCACCTGCAGCCTACAAGCGACGCGCGCAGTCCAGGTAATAGGAGATCGGTCTATTAGTTAAACAACAATTTTTTTAAATTTTTTTTTTTTTTAATTTTAATTTTTTTATTTTTGATGTTAATGTCCTTTTTCTTGGTAAACTTGTATTGTTTCGTTTTTTGCAGCCCTGATGATGATGCTAACCAGCATCGAAACGTTGGCTATTTGATTTTCAAATTTAATAAATTAGTCCAAGAAAGCTGAAAATTATTTCCATTCCTCATAACCAAATTCGTGGACAAGAAACTTTTTCGACCGATTAGGAAATCATTACTTAGATTTAATAGGTAGTTTTCCAACCACCCTTCTACAAAATCCAAAAACACTGCATGTGACTGATTTGGTGAGTGATAAACACCAGCAACAGAAACCACGTCATCACCCAAACTCAGCCTAACAACCAGAAACCACATATTCATAGGTATAACATGCCTAAAAGCAACAACATATTTTATGTTTGATTTTATGTAAAAAATAACACCACCCGTGAATCTACTTTCAGAGTTCATGCGTTCCATTTTGTACCCTTCCACCCTCAAGTCATAGTCTTCAATTTCGGCTGACAATTCATCTCATGATAGTATTCAATAAGGCTTTGTGAATTTAGGAGATAAACAATGCCATTTTTTGATTGCTACTCCTTCTGGCTTGGATACACAAAAGGTAATTAACTTCTAATTCTAGCCCTTTATAATATATTCTCTTATATGCCTCACAGCATAATTCAAGTTTGGAACCTTCAGTACTTCAGTGGCATGTCCACAGTTACAGTATCATCCGTCTTATGGTTTCCTGTACATCTTGGACACACCTTTGTTTGAGATTTGCGGTCGGGTGTCGATAAAATCATCTTCACAAAAATCTGAAGAGTCGTCATGTCGTGAGGTATAATGAATATTTAAAGGCTGGATTTCCATAGCTTTGTCGATTACGTCAAGATTCCACTATTTTTTCTCTCCTCTGCTACTTAGAGCAGGTAAAACGCTGTCCTAGGGACATCAGGAGTAGGAACACGCCATTCTGCTATGAAGCTAAAGTGGAGCCAGTTTTTAAAAGGGTTGTACACCAAATGACAGGTAAAGCATTGAATTGGCTATACCGTAATTATTTTGGTGACCAAATAGGTAGCTGAAACCAACTCCATGTTCCTACTCCTCCCACCTAGGAAATTACCTGGTCTAAGTTCTGCCATAACATGTTTCATGGAGTTTTTATAGTTTTTCTCAGTTATATTCGCGAATGACTCCACCAAAAGTTGTCGTTCTTTGTCGTTGTCAGCCTCCAACTCTTGCCACCATATACCAGCATCCCAATTTAATCTCTTCCACTGCAACCACTCAATGATCTCTTCTATTTTCCAGGAATTTTACACAATTACCAGAAATACATTCGATGATTTGTTATTATTCTTTGAAAACGAGAGAAGTAATTCTTTCAAAGTTATCTTCAGTTGAATTTGATTGAAAATCCATTTTCAATGCCTGTATGAGTTAAAATAAGTTTGGGCCCGTTTCCAGAAGGCGGTCTCTATCCTGAGAGGATGTCTGTCTTGCCAGACTTTTGATACAAATAGAAAAAATGTTTTCCTTCATTGCGATATTTTCGGATTGCCCTCAAGTAATTTCGTCTCCAGCAAATGACGTCTGACCTATCAATAAAAAGAGATTTTTTTATTCTGCTTTTCTTAGCGGAAGCTCATGTCATGGAGAATTTTCCGTAGTCTAGTTTTTGACAGGTGGGGAAGGGTAAGTTTTCGTCATCCCTGGTAGCTTGTAAAATTTTGTCTAGCATTGGTAATTCCTTGGCAAAGTAAAAAGCATTCAATTTTCTTCTCATCCCCTTTCTAACACCTTCGTCAATATCGGATGGTTTTTTCCCTGGAGGTAGCTTGGGTATACTCCGTGGTTCTTCCTTTTTTGTTGCTTGCAAGAATCTATGAATAGTCGTTACTTCAACTCCTACCACATTGGCACAGGTCTTAATTATGCTGCGGACATGACTTACCGGTTGCTGATACTATAAAAAGGGCAAGTAGCTGCAGTTTTAACATCTTCTGACCACATTGGAAAAAGGAAATCTGCTATTGCATGTAAAAAAGAAGAAGAACAGAGAAAAGAAATAAAGCGCAAAACCATAACGATAGAAAAAAATTAGGAAAATAAAGCGAAGAATGGAAAAAAAAATCATCAAAGGATGATGATGATATATCAGATGAGTTGGTTAATTATTCTGACGATAGTTCAGAGGGAGAAGAATTGACGGAATGCCTTGGGTGTGGTGAAGGATTCAATTTTACAAAAAAAAAAAACTGATGATTGGATCCAATGAGAGGTTGTTCCATGAAAGTTTATCTAAGTATTTGAACTTCTGTGACCTCTGTGGCAAGAGAATCATGAACGTTCACCATGAGGGTTTTTTTCTTGAAGGGAATAACATGGACTCTTGCTAACTTGCTGCACCGTAACTTGGGAAGAGACTTGGCGTTTAAGCCATTATAAAATCCGTTGCGTATTAACTAGTTCTTTGCCAAACACAAACTAATTTTTTGTTTTGTTTTGATAATAATGTACAATAATGTATTACCCATCTTATACCTACCTACTTCACCTACATGTAATCCAATTTAGAAAAAAGTGGCAGGTACCTACTACGGTCAGGCCTATGGTTTACCATTACTTTATGGCGATAACTCTCGATTTGTGTTCTCAGGGCCTACGGGATAGACTTATAAAAGTAAAAAGTAAAAAATATCATTAACGGGGAATCAAAATCATTCAGTCTTTAGGGTATTAACATCTGTTGTTTTGAAATTCAAATACCTTCAGAAACAAACTTTCTTTGCACTCTTTTGTATAGAGGTAGAAACTTCCAAAGTGGTTTCTTTTCGTCAATTTTACCTGTATTGGGAAAAAAATCTAAATTTAAAGAAATTCTATACGGTTCAAGTGGCAACGGCGCTGTGTACGATTCGAGGTTCAAAACTGGTTTCCGCACACTTTCTAAATGCCGTAAACGGCCGACGAGAACCGACCACTAGTTCGAATCAAACGGTGGAGAGCGGCGAGCAGGGCGGCGAGACAACGAGATCGAGAAGCGCTGCTGCCACGTAATTGCGGATCAATAAACAAATCTCTGTGGTGCCCGCAAATCCCAAGTATTTTAACGCCAAATTTAATAAAATTGTGATATTAAGTATTCTCATTCAGTTAGTAGTGTGTGTGTGTGATAAAATACATCAACATTTCTATTAGTTTCTAATAAAATTTGAAAAAAAAAAACAAGTGTGGAAAGTGCGCCGCATTCCGAATAATTTAAGAATCCTACTTGTGTTGTAAAGTGTACGCGAGCGAGCCAGAGTTGTTTCGATGTCCCCCTCTTTCTGTCCGACAGGCAGAAGTTGATTCCGTGGCGTCCAAATTTGTAAGTATTTTCCATCCTTCTGAACAGATTTTCTTTGCAACTTCAAATTTAAGGTCGCTCTAAGGTCGAAACGTCTTTCCATGCGGAAAATTAGTGTGTTGTTACTTGTTACTCTTTCCTTCATCATGCTCTGATTGAATACCTGCGTGCATTTATAATTATTGCATTTTGTATTATTTCGATACTGTTACCTTTTTTTGAGATGGTAATACTTGTTGCCTTGACTTGGACATGATACCTATTTTGCTTGCTTTGGTCTGATCTTGTTTCATTTCTATTATTAACGTTCACTCTGCATATCGTGTGGGTGTAGAAGGATTTTTATACTCATAAGATCACACGTATTTTTAAAGGTTTTAAATTGTAAATTTATAAAATAAATATTCGAAGTTGATCAATTAATCAAATCTCATCTAGTCTGCAGCAGGCTTTGTTCTGGTTGCAACGAGAACTTGTTTTAGAACTCACATAAAGCTGTTACTTCTTATTAATAAGATGTTGGAACTGCAAAAAGCTAGTATTTTTGAGGGGTTTTGGTGTGTGATGAACATTATTTTTTCCACTTAAATTAGACCTATACCTAAATCAAAAGCCGTCCGTACATCCTTCAAATCTATAATTACTAGAAAATGTACCAAAAAGGGAAGATTTTTATATTGGAATATCATTTGTAATTGTAACCTACCTAAATTGAAGCAATCTAGGGAAATAATGAATAATATTTTATTATTTCTGTTAAGGAGGCATCATACAAATAATATGTACATACTACCAAGTCAAATTTCTAATTCAGAAATTCCGTAAAAAAAGTCCCGGTTCAGCGAACATCTGTTATTTTAGATTTTACCTACCTGCTAGAATAAAATAAACTTTGGTTTGGCTCAAGAAGGTCATCAACTCAAATAAGACTCACAAGACAAACATATCTATAAGGGCCCACTTTTTACTTGAGACAGAGACAGAATTTGCAGACTGACATTTTGTAAAACAGGAGAGTCTATTAATTACTCAGGGAATTATGTAGAAAAATGTATACTTAAGTTAAATACAAAATATTCATTTTCATCCTGGAGTTTTCTTTAAATGATTAATCAGTTATAGGCCTACTATCGAGTTAACATTATAAATTGCTTTAAAATTAGAATTTCTTGTGAAATAAAAACATTAAAGCTAAAGTCACCTTAATGTATTGATGAAAAAACTTTAGTTAATAGGTAAATAGGTAATGCTAAAATACCATCTGCATATTAATTGTTGAAAACAATGTATTATCTTTATTTGATTTCCAATGAAATCTATATTGCATACCCAGTAGATACCTACTCTGTAAATCTTGCCAAACAAAAATGAAAAAACAAACTTATCCTACTGCATATTACATAAGTATCACAATGTTCAGACAACAAAACAAATATGTACCTACACACACAAAAGTATTTTTAAAACTTTACATGTCCGACACAAACAGCTCCTACAACATACCTAAGGAAAAATAAACATCAGTCCGAGAAAATGGATCAAAATAACATAATTTTTATATCGGAATATTATTTGTAATTGTAAATTAAGGCAATGTAGGGAGATATTGAATTAATATTTATGTTAAGTAGGTTTAAAATAATAATAATAAGTACATACATTCTAGCATAACAAATTTCTAATTCAAAAATTCCATATAATTATAGTCTTCGCTTACAGAACATCTGTTATTCTAGATTTTACCTGCCTACTGAAATATAAATCACTTTGACTCAAAAAGATCATCAGCTCAAAAAAAATTCCGCTTTTAAAATTTGGGGTATTTTGATAAATTATGTAGGCAAGAAAAGTGGCCCTCTAAACCTGACGTGTAAACTGGGCACGCTTCCTTGGGGTAATAAAACAATTAAGTTAGTGTCCGGTTTACATCTTTCCCGTAGATAGAACCAACATCTCTTAAGGGCCCACTTGAGACAGAGTCGGAATTTGCAGACTGAAAGTTCGTAAAACAGGGGAGTCTGTTGATTACGAAGGAGTGTGTGAAAGCCATTTATAAAGAAAAATACACGGAAAAATATATAAGTTGAATAAACAGCCTATAAAAATATCCAATTTTATCCCCTAATTTTGTTAAACGGGAATTCTGATTAATCAAAGCTATATAGACCAACATTTAGAATTCTAGTCTGCTCTAAGTTTTAATGGAAAAATTGTAGTTTATAGTCATAGGTAGGTAATGCTGAAATGATATTTGCATTTAATTGATGAAAACAATGCAATATCTCAATTTGATTTCCGGTAATGATTTCTTGAGTGATTTCTATTGAAATTTATATTGCATATCTCAGAATTTTCAGTCAAGGAAACAAATATTCAACACACACAATATAAATAGATAGGTTTTGAAATTTCGCAATCCTTGAACCATACACAACAACAAACAGCCTCCAAAAGATAATAAGGATCAGCCCCAGAAAAATCTGTACTGTATTTTATAGTAGACCTCCATCTGCAAACAAACTCGATAAGTATTATAAAAGACCTTTTCTTGTTGGCCAAAATTGTTCAATACTTTTTTCATCTCGTATTTATTGTTTTAATGGGTTTCTTGTTATAATTTTTTGAATGTAAGTATGGAAAATTAGATCTGGTGTTGGGTTATTCCGAGGGTTATTCCTTGGGTTTCTATCAGTTGTGTCATACGTCTGTTATTTTGTTAAAGTTACTGGTCGATAGATAGAACTGTCCAAATACTATTTTCAACTAACAAGCTCCTCGTATGGTGTAGTTACTCTAGATTTGTAGCTGCGAATTTTGGATGCACTATCATCTCTCAACATATAGACCAGGGTGTTCTACAATACTGCCTCAAATTGGTTTTGAAATCGGTTTTGGATCATGTGTGTTTTTATTCCTTTTCTCGGGATCTCTCTCCATTATATGAGCAGAGACTTGACACAATGTACTAGAATACTCTCTCAAATTGGTTTTCAAAATAGTTAAATAATTAGTGGTTGAAAATATCAAAAGACAACAAAATTTGTTCCCTTTTCTTGAGATTTTGGATATGATATCGCTATCGCTACCGCCTTTCAACAGGGTGTTCTAGAATACTGTTTTGAAATTGGTTTTAAAATCGGTAGGGGACAGATGATTGAAAATATCAAATAGCTTAAGAAAAGCATCATTTTTCTTGAAATTTTGGATGTAGGACACATACTTTACAAAATGTTAGAATACTCTCTCAAATTGGTTTCAAAATAGAATAGAAATAGAGGGCTGATTAGTTGAAGATCATGTGCTATACGTAGTTATTTACATCCACTTAAAAATTAAGAAAATTACCGAGACACACGGAAAAGTTGGGCCAACTTCAACTTAAGGAAATCCGTACGTTAATTTCTGGTTCTGTGCATATAATTTGACTTGACAGTTGAGATTATAAGTACGCATGCGTGACATAAGAAAATTAACTTCCTTGTAAACACACGTTCTCAGTTTCGTATGTTAATTATAATTTCCCGTACTTTAAGTGGATGTAAATGACCCTTAAGTTTTCATCATTTTATCCCAAGATTTCGGATGGAGTACCTGAACCACCTTTTTTGAATCTTTAACAATAGATTCCAATCCGAATTATTCCCTGTTTTGGATCGAATAAATATTGATACATTTTATAATAAACAATAGTAACATCGCCCCTATAATGCTATGCTTGATAGCGGAATGACTTAATTTCCTGGGTTTCAATAAATTTTGTTTTACACCTGTGTTGTCATTAGACTGCCACTTGCTTAATGACTCCTTTCTATATTCAATAATTTTTACTGCTTTAGTCTTTGCCATGTTGAAACCTAATGCTGAGATTTATGCCTCATGAATATGTACCATGTAAATATGTAATTTGAAGTTGAAAGTTTCGATAATTATTCTCTAATACTCAGTTTCTTCTTTTTATATACATACTTCATATCCATTTTTTCTTTAAGACCTAAAATTCTAGGACTTTCAGAAATTTCTGTTATTATCGCTAACATATACCAAAACAAATTGGTGGAAAGCAGGGAAAAAACGCGACTTTTGCAACATTGAAAAATCATTTTACTGTTAGGCTGTCCAGCTTAAAAAACATCATGTCTGCTCCAGTGAGATTGGGTTTTGTATAATTCGATTCTGGTCTATGGTTTGACGGAGTTGTTTACTCATTGAAAGTGCCCGATATGAGAGATTACACTTATCTAGATTTCCTATTTTTTCATTCTGATCAAAATTAAACTTAACTATAAAGTTTCAACCTTGGAGGAATGACTGAACTGATTATTTAGGAATTTAAAAACTTGTTGAAAATCGGTAAATCGTGTGACCTGTTACTTAATATTATGTCGTTTAAATTAGGACTCGGAATTGTATTCGAATAATTCGAATATTCGACTATTCGACTATTCTAAATTCAACTTTTTTGTTAGTCAGTAAATTCGACTATTCGAATATTCGACTATTCGAATATTCGACTATTGGAATCTTCGAATATTCGACTATTCGAATATTCAACTATTCGAATATTCGACTATTCGAATATTCAACTATTCGAATATTCGACTATTCGAATATTCGACTATTCGTATATTCGACTATTCGAATATTCGACTATTCGAATATTCGACTATTCAAATATTTGAATATTCGACTATTCGAATATTCGATTATTCGAATATTCAAATAGTTGAATATTCGAATATTGGACTATTAACCCTCTGTAAATTTGCCATTTAGAAAACATCTAAATTATTTTAGTTTTTCTGACTCTGCAATACTCTGCATAAAAAATCACAAATTCGCTTCGTCATAGAACGTTCTTTTGCGGGAAGTAGAAACTTTTATCAAGAAAAGAATGATTGTTAGTCGAAAAACGTCATTTTTAAAGTCATTTTCCATTTTCTTCTCTTAATTAGGCCCTCTATCAAAATTGGACTATTGGAATATTAGACTATTCAAATATTCGACTTTTTGACTACATATTC